TCAATGAAAGCTCCTGAACTGAAAGATCGGTTACAGGAGTCGGAGAAGCTCATCCAAGAAATGACTGTGACCTGGGAGGAGAAACTGCGCAAGACGGAAGAAATCGCTCAGGTTGTAGACTTTCATTTTGTATCTAGTAGTGATATTACCCATTGGTATCCTGGGGAAAGATTTGCCCAAAATTGGCCAGATGGGACTGGATATGAAGCTGGCCATACACGGTTAGATTTTTGTTCAAATGCTGATTGTGTTTGAATGCATTTACAATTCAATCCAGACCTGTCTTTGAATGCAATCCCAGATGTATTAAACAGTTTTCATTACAATATATACAATATTTCAACAAAAACCACATTCACAGTTAAAGTAAAACTAAAGGCAAAACTTTTTTTTTTTTTTTTTTTTTTTTTTTTTTTTTTTTTTAGTTTTGTACAGTAGAGAGAGAGATTAGAACACAACTCAATTTTTATTGCTGCCAGTGTCCCCATTAAGGAGATTCACCTTCTCTGTCCTGTTTATTTTTACCATTGAAAGGGAAACTAGAAGAAAATCCCAAAATTTGGAGGGTCCCCAGAAAAGTAATAGAGGTGAAATCTTCCAATGGGGACCACTAGTTCTGGTGACGTGGGGTGGGTCCCCATGAAATTCCCTTAATTTGCGGGGATTTCTTCTCACTTCCTGTTTTGGCTATGGGACAGGAAGTGAAGGGAAATCTCTGCAATGGAACACAAATGCAAAAAAAATAAATGGGTGGGGTTATAATCCTCCATTACTCTATCCAAAAAATATTAAAAAATGCTAATGTTGTGTTCATAAATAAATTTCCATCTTGATCATTCAAATTTTTTCATCACGCAGCCATGTGGGCTGAGCCCTGCACGGCCACATTGTTCTCAAATAATGACAGCGGGTGCGGGGAGGAGATCCCCTGCCTGCTGTCATGTGGGGAGTCGGGGAGAGGCTGCAGGAACTGGAACATGGTACATGGTCCACCCTAAAACCCGTGTCAATCGACAACGGCTCCTGTAGGGCATTCCACTGTGAGTATAGCAGGAGTTTATAGAACTATGTGTGAAGATCCCATCTTCAGCCCCCAGAGCTGGGAAGCCTATGCGAGTTGTGCTGCTCCTTGTGAATGGTCCTGTATCCTCCTGCGACATGTGACGTGTCCCAAGGGGTTGTGGGCTGGGGGAAGGTGGCTTGGGGGGGCAGGGAGATAGAAGGAGAACTTACAGTAGAATCACCTGGGCCCCTGGTGCCCAACCTGTGGCCCTTTTGGCATTTTACTAATCTGTAGTTCCCTATTGTCCTGTTAAAACAAGGATTTCTGGCAGTCTGAAGTAACATGTCTCCAAGAACTTCTGTAGCATGTCTGCAATATCTTAAAGTCTCCTGCAGTATATCTGCAATCTCTGACCATCTCCTGTATCATATCTGCAGTCTCTGACCATCTCCTGTATTATGTCTGCAGTCTCCGACCATCTCCTGTATCATATCTGCCGTCTCTGACCATCTCCTGTATCATGTCTGCAGTCTCTGACCATCTCCTGTTTCATATCTGCCGTCTCTGACCATCTCCTGTATCATATCTGCCGTCTCTGACCATCTCCTGTATCATGTCTGCCGTCTCATATCATCTCTCGGATCATGTCTGCCATCTCTGACCATCTCTCGGATCATGTCTGCCGTCTCAGATCATCTCCTGTATCATGTCTGCCGTCTCAGATCATCTCCTGTATCATATCTGCCGTCTCTGACCATCTCCTGTACCACGCCCGCCGTCTCTGACTATATCCTGTTGCCCCTGACAATGAATTTTCTTTGAATTTTAAGTGTAGCCCTTTGGTGATGTTGGTGACCACACTTGAGGCCCTTCATATAAATAAAGTTGACCACCACTGACCTAGGTGATTCCAGCAGAAGTGGACGCAGGTACCAAAAAAAAAATAGGTGCCCCCCCCCCATCCAAAAAAAAAAATAAAATAAAGTGACAATAATATTAGAGGAGGGGGGAAAGATTCTTAAAAGCGGATATTCCTATTTAGGGTGAAGTTCCAATTTAATGTCCGGTGACCATCTCATTTAATAAGCTGCATGGTGAGGCCTATCCATGTAACAAACGCACCCCAGTACAGAAGAGAGAAGGGGGTCTTGAGAGAGAGCGCCAGATGTGTGAGATGTGGAAAGAACACCACATCAGTGCAATCAGAGGGTGTTCTATTAAATGTTCAACAATATAAAAGATCCAACACGTTTCGGGGGTATGCAAACATGTGTCATGGTTTCAGTGTCATGTGACTTCAGTAACCAAAGCGGTTTGGAGATATTTATAGGGTTTCACAAGATGTTAATATCAGCCGGTATTCGCTGAATGAAGTTCATGCCGTACTAGCTGCAGAAACTAATATCTCATATAGGCCTATAAATATGTCCAAACTGCTTTGAATTTCCACATTGCAGAAACAACCAGATCGCAGATCAGTGTACAGAGCCCTGTGTGTTTACAGATGGGGCTTTGTGCTGTGATTGCACACAGTTGATCAGCAGAATACAGCCATGAATACAGTCCGAGACCTGCTGACAAAATCGTGCGGAATTTCCTTAGGTGTCACTTATTCTGAGTAGAAACTGCCTCCAGCCAATGGGCCATTCACACATATACAGTCAGGTCCATAAATATTGGGACATCGACACAATTCTAACATTTTTGGCTCTATACACCACCACAATGGATTTGAAATGAAACGAACAAGATGTGCTTTAACTGCAGACTGTCAGCTTTAATTTGAGGGTATTTACATCCAAATCAGGTGAACAGTGTAGGAATTACAACAGTTTGCGTATGTGCCTCCCACTTGTTAAGGGACCAAAAGTAATGGGACAATTGGTTTCTCAGCTGTTCCATGGCCAGGTGTGTGTTATTCCCTCATTATCCCAATTACAATGAGCAGATAAAAGGTCCAGAGTTCATTTCAAGTGTGCTATTTGCATTTGGAATCTGTTGCTGTCAACTCTCAAGATGAGATCCAAAGAGCTGTCATTATCAGTGAAGCAAGCCATCATTAGGCTGAAAAAACAAAACAAACCCATCAGAGAGATAGCAAAAACATTAGGCGTGGCCAAAACAACTGTTTGGAACATTCTTAAAAAGAAGGAATGCACCGGTGAGCTCAGCAACACCAAAAGACCCGGAAGACCACGGAAAACAACTGTGGTGGATGACCGAAGAATTCTTTCCCTGGTGAAGAAAACACCCTTCACAACAGTTGGCCAGATCAAGAACACTCTCCAGGAGGTAGGTGTATGTGTGTCAAAGTCAACAATCAAGAGAAGACTTCACCAGAGTGAATACAGAGGGTTCACCACAAGATGTAAACCATTGGTGAGCCTCAAAAACAGGAAGGCCAGATTAGAGTTTGCCAAACGACATCTAAAAAAGCCTTCACAGTTCTGGAACAACATCCTATGGACAGATGAGACCAAGATCAACTTGTACCAGAGTGATGGGAAGAGAAGAGTATGGAGAAGGAAAGGAACTGCTCATGATCCTAAGCATACCACCTCATCAGTGAAGCATGGTGTGGTAGTGTCATGGCGTGGGCATGTATGGCTGCCAATGGAACTGGTTCTCTTGTATTTATTGATGATGTGACTGCTGACAAAAGCAGCAGGATGAATTCTGAAGTGTTTCGGGCAATATTATCTGCCCTCTCATATTCAGCCAAATGCTTCAGAACTCATTGGACGCCGCTTCACAGTGCAGATGGACAATGACCCCAAGCATACTGCAAAAGCAACCAAAGAGTCTTTTAAGGGAAAGAAGTGGAATGTTATGCAATGGCCAAGTCAATCACCTGAACTGAATCCGGTTGAGCATGGATTTCACTTGCTGAAGACAAAACTGAAGAGAAAATGCCCCAAGAACAAGCAGGAACTGAAGACAGTTGCAGTAGAGGCCTGGCAGAGCATCACCAGGGATGAAACCCAGTGTCTGGTGATGTCTATGTGTTCCAGACTTCAGGCTGTAATTGACTGCAAAGGACTTGCAACCAAGTATTAAAAAGTGAAAGTTTGATTTATGATTATTATTCTGTCCCATTACTTTTGGTCCCTTAACAAGTGGGAGGCTCATATGCAAACTGTTGTAATTCTTACACCGTTCACCTGATTTGGATGTAAATACCCTCAAAGCTGACAGTCTGCAGTTAAAGCACATCTTGTTAGTTTAATTTCAAATCCATTGTGGTGGTGTATAGAGCCACAAATGTTAGAATTGTGTCGATGTCCAAATATTTATGGACCTGACTGTACACTCATATATGTGCTTCCCATCAGACATTTGTTTTTGGGCCGTGACCTACCAGATTGGGAATCCAAGATCATTTGCATTGAACTTCCTTTTTTCCTGTAGGAGGTGTTCAGATTCTCCCCTATCCTCATTAATTCCAGTTCCATTTTTTCATGGAATTCTATCCCAATCTTCAGCGTTGCCCCCTTGATGACATGCATGCCGGTGATTACTGGAGAATCTTGTTTTGTCTTTGGTTCTCCACTGCAGTTCAATAGAAACTTACATACAAACCAGGAAGGAAATGTCACGTGATGGCCAAAGTATGTCAGGATTTTGTCTGAATGCAGAGAAGTGACTTTACGTTACCCCGGCATTCAGGACAAAGGGTCCTGGTATCTCAGTCATCCCAAGAATGGAAGGGGGGGAGGGGGGAGGGTGTGTGAAAAAACGTAAACTGTGCATACCATGGTTTTGGTTTTTCACAATAAACCGTGTACATTTGTAAATACCAGAATTCAAGAGCCTGCCTCTTTACACATTCAGGGAAAAATAACAGGTTCACCTAAAAGCTTGTTTCCCTTGACTATTTCCCCATTGCTTTGGTGGTCCGTCAGAGCCATGAACATTACAGCACTCTCGTCTGAGGGTCCGGTTGACAGACACCAATGCTGTCACGCGGGAACAGCTCCACCACAGAGCTTGCACAGGTTTGAGATTTAAGGCTCTTGGCAGAAGAATGGAAAGGTGGGGGAGCACAGTGAAAGTGAGCATAAGATGGTCAGAGGGTGGACTTTCAAGAGTACCTGTCACTTTGCTCAGAATTTAACAAATAATTCCTCTGCACTGGGGGAGGGGGGTTGAGGTCCTGATTTGGATTCTGTTGGACACCATCCTTCACTCAAGTTATGGAGGCCCTTCCTTCGGTTGTGAGAGTAATCCCAGAGCTGGATGACAGTGTGAGTTTCAGCCTTGTGCATCCTGTCTCCATTAAGGACAATTAAAGGAAATGTCTTTATTGCACAGGCAGTGTATGGATAACTTCCTTTATAGCAGAGAACAAGACACTGGGAAGCATAACCATGAGTCCAATAAACCAGTCTTTTTCAAGTATGTCAGGGGTTGACTCCAGGAAGCTTCCGTTCACAAGGAACAGCACCTCCAGAGCGACAGTAGAAATCTCTGAATCAAGATATAAACACACATGGAGGGCACCATCTGAGTGCAGCATTAAACCATTTATTAAAAACAAATTGGCAGCTCACATGAAGTAAGTTTGTGAAGGCATGTAGAACATAAGAATCCAGGACATCCAGTGAACCCTGTAGCAGAGGCATCCAATCGAAGGATTGGGCAGCACTGCTGCCAGCCAGAGCACTTCCTGGTTGGGAGGAGACTCCAGGGGAACCTAGTGGATGATATCAGGCACCAGGGAACTTCCTGGGATTGTGGCTACGTGTTTCAAGGCGTTCTGCCTCTTTGGCAAGCCTCTTGAGAAAGGCTTGGACAGAGCATGTCTTGTGAACGTAATGGGACCTGTTCACAAGCAGGGGCGGACTGACCATTTGGAAACTCGGGCACTACCCGAGGGTCCGGGGTCATTAGAAGGCCCCATGAGATGCCCCTGGTACCTTTTTCATAGGCTTTTTTGAGTTTGGGCAAGGACACAGGGGCCCCATGATCCCCTATTGCCCAGGGGCCCCATGAGTTGTCAGTCCGCCCCTGTTCACAAGATATACTTCATGTGAGCTGCCAGTTTGTTTTTATCATATAACAAATGGTTTAATCTTTTCCTGTACATATCTGTAGGAGGATTCTTCAGATGGCTTCCTTTGTTCTGGCTCTGCTCAGGCTAGCTGTCATAGTGGTTCTACCCACATTCTTGATTCATACTCCAAGGCATCTGATGCTGCGCTTGATTGGGGGTTCAGGAGTTTTCTTAGTCCTATGGCCTGAGGTCAAGGTTAGGCAGGGTGCTCCTTTAGAAGGATTCTTCTGTGAAGTTCCTGGGGCAGCTTTATGTGTTGGGCAGGATGTATAGCTTTAGGCCTGGTTCACACCTATGCGGTTTCCAGTGCATTTTTCAGTTTTGCAGAAAGGCACTACAGTCCGTTTTAACATGGTTTTCTATGGGTAACATTCACATCTGTGCATTTTTTGAAAAGGTTCAGCGACTTTTTTCCCTCAGCAGTTTGCATTTATGATTCCATAACCTTCAATGGAAACACAGTGGAAATGCATCAAAAACTCATAAAAAATACAGTGTTTATGTTTATGTGTTTTTGCTGGTTTCTCCTGCAAGACAAAAGACAACTCCCAAAAATGGAAAATGCATAAAAAACACGTGAAAAAAAAACGCAAAACGGAGACTGTATGAACCCCAACCTGCGTAGGTGTGAAACTAGCCTTATTATCTGTTCTTGGTGTCAGTTCCAGACATGGCCAAAGTTACAGATTCTCATGATTTCTGCAAAATGTAATAATCTGATTCATTAAACAGGTCAACAATGGCAACCCCTATAATTCCGTTCTAACAGGTTCACTGGTGATGTCAGAGGGGCTTTCTGTGTAATTGAAGTTTCTCTGCAGATCATTGCTATTGGGTAGCATTTGACTTGGTGTGTGGATTGCATGTTTGCTCATGTTCTATTCCGTTTGGTCTTCCAGGAGCGCCAGAAGCAGCTCGAGAGTCTCGGCATATCACTCCAGTCCTCAGGGATCAAAGTCGGAGACAACAAGTGCTTTTTAGTAAATTTAAATGCAGACCCGGCCCTCAACGAGCTTCTGGTTTACTATCTTAAGGTGAGTCAGTGATGGAAATTGCAGAGATCTGTGAAATGTGAGGCAGCTCAGCTGTTGAGGGGATAGCTTATTGATGGCCTAGAGGCCATAGAAATATTTAGCTTAAAATACAATACAGAAATGAGATGTAAAGGAGCACTGCTGGTACAATTAAACATGAAGGGGGGGTATGGGGAACACGGCCTTACCTGCCCAGAACTTCAGTTCTCCATCCAGTCATTTCTCTACGCACTGGGCCACCCCCTGCCTACGATTTCCTTATTTCCACTAACCACCTCCAGGGCTCAAAATGTTGTGGGGATGGTTCCTGATCCACCACTATACTCCACAGAAGGTTCAGAAGCATTGTCGTAATGCAGGTGGCATAACCTCGCAAGATCCTCTGCCAAGACTTAAATCCTATTGGTCAGGCCTTCATTAGAAATCATGGGGCTCCATCCAACCTACCTGACAGGCCCCACTTCCCCCAGTGTCTCTCCATCCTCTTTAACCTTCCGCCAGCACAGATATTTCCCTCAGAACAGACCCCCCTCCCAGCCCACCACCTCAGTACAGACCCCTTCCAGCCCACCTCCTCAGTGCAGACCCCCCTTCCAGCCCACCTCCTCAGTGCAGACCCCCCTTCCAGCCCACCCCCTCAGGACAGCCCCCCCTTTCCAGCCCACCCCCTCAGGACAGCCCCCCCTTTCCAGCCCACCCCCTCAGGACAGACCCCCCCCTTTCAGCCCACCCCCTCAGGACAGACCCCCCCTTTCCAGCCCACCCCCCTCAGTTCAGACCCCCCTTCCAACCTACCCCCTCAGTTCAGACCCTCCCTTTCAGCCTAACCCCCCTCAGTTCAGACCCCCCTTTAAGCCACCCCCTCAATAGAGATGCCCCCCCTTCAGCCCACCCCCTCAATATAGACCCCCCCCCCTTCCAGCCCACCTCCTCAGTACAGACCCCCACTTCCAGCCCACCTCCTCAGTACAGACACACCTTCAACCCCACCCCCTTTAGGACAGACCACCCCCCTTCTAGCCCTCCCCCTCAGGACAGACCCCCCCCCCCTTCCAGTCCACCCCCTCAGGACAGACCCCCCCCCCCCTTCCAGTCCACCCCCTCAGGACAGACCCCACCCCCAGTACAGACCCCCCTTTCAGCCCACCCCCCTCAGTACAGACCACCCCTTCCAGCCCACCCCCTCAGTACAGACCCCCCCTTCCAGCTCACCCCCTCAGTACAGACCCTCCTTCCAGCCCCCTTCCTCTGTACAGACTGCCACCTTCCTTCCACCCCTGGAACCGATGCAACGACAGTTCAGAGTGAGGGAAAGTCCACATGATGGCTGTATTGTGTCTGTAACTGAGGAGGTGCTTGTCACTAGCAACCACTATGTATTCTGCGCTGTGGCTGGTAATAGGCAACCCTACTGGACCCATTCCACCCTGCTAACCTGGGTAGGGCCTGGTCCTGATACGGGAGTACTTACCTCTTCTCTCCTATAGGCAGCCATGTTATTGGTGCTCACCTGGCCCCAAATTCTGCCCTGGAATTCTTGCCATACTGTAACCAGCCCACTTTGCCATCATTCAGGAGGTCAGGCATTGCAGATTCTCCTTGGCTGCACCCGAAGCAGCTATGTTGGAGGCACGATCAGCACCATCCAAGGTACTTGAGTGGACTCTGATTTTAGCACTGGTGCAATATATAATCTGTTCAATGCATTGCATTAATGAGCTGTAAGACCTAAGGCAGTACAAATCAGTAAAAACAAAGCTGTTGTGCAACCCTGTGGACATGTCAGGGGCCTCTTGAGACCTCCAATTTTCACTAAGTTGACCACCACTGCTTTAAATAACATTGTTCAGCAATTATACAGTATATGCTTTCAATATTTTTATTGCTGCAGTTTTTTTTGTGATGGCATTTGCATACGTCATAACCAACTGAACCTCTTTTGTAGCGTTTTCCTTTTCCTGTCCTTGATTTTGATTCAAGTAAACTAAAGAGGGAAGAAAGTCACTGCTGAGCTCTAGATAACAATTGCCAATCGTCTTGTTATGCTACGACGTCCCTGCCTATTCCTCAGTGTTGGCATCTCTCACCCATGTCCAACGGCTGCAGTGCCAGCAGAAACACATTGAAGCTTCTTCCTGACCTGCTGAGCCTTTGTGCTGTGTCAGGGACACACAGATGAGGGTGAGCCCGGGATCTTTCCTTGTGTTCAGTAATCGGAGCCTCCTGGGAAGGAGAACACATCTCCCGGTACAACAAGAGCTTTCTGTTTTATCAGGGAGCGGAGTGTAGGAAGGCTTTGTGTGCCACAGGGGCTCCTGGAGACATGCCAACCAACAGTCCAAACATCAGATCATCAAAGCAAAACTGACCTGGCCTCAAATGTTTCAAAAGTGCTGACATTTAAAGCTGAACTTTGGCCTTCCCTTCAGTCTTGCACAGTTGTACCGGCTCCTCTCCTACACTGACATTGCTTACTCTTTCACTGAACACTTTGGGCTTCTCACAATGTTCATTAGAAGCTGCAGATAGAGTTCACCTCATTTTGTGGCTGGAGGACATCTGGCACCATCTAGCCCAGTGTTTCTCAACCTTTTTTTCACTCAAAGCACCCTTAAAAATTATGGACGGTCCCGAGGCACCCTTTAAAATTATGGACAGTCCCGTGGCACCCTTTAAAATTATGGACAGTCCCGTGGCACCCTTTAAAATTATGGACAGTCCCGTGGCACCCTTTAAAATTAAGGACAGTCCCGAGGCACCCTTTAAAATTATGGACAGTCCCGAGGCACCCTTTAAAATTATGGACAGTCCCGAGGCACCCTTTAAAATTATGGACAGTCCCGAGGCACCCTTTAAAATTATGGACAGTCCCGGGGCACCCTTTAAAATTATGGACAATCCCGTGGCACCCTTTAAAATTATGGACAGTCCCGTGGCACCCTTTAAAATTATGGACAGTTCCAGGGCACCCTTTAAAGTTATGGACAGTCCCGAGGCACCCTTTAAAATTATGGACAGTCCCGGGGCACCCTTTAAAATTATGGACAATCCCGTGGCACCCTTTAAAATTATGGACAGTCCCGTGGCACCCTTTAAAATTATGGACAGTTCCAGGGCACCCTTTAAAGTTATGGACAGTCCCGAGGCACCCTTTAAAATTATGGACAGTCCCGAGGCACCCTTTAAAATTATGGACAGTCCGAGGCACCCTTTAAAATTATGGACAGTCCCGAGGCACCCTTTAAAATTATGGACAGTCCTGAGGCACCCTTTAAAATTTGGACAGTTCCGGGGCACCCTTTAAAGTTATGGCCTTGAGGTACCCTTTATTATGGACAGTCTTGAGGCACTCCATTCTAAATGTGAAAAGTTTTCTATAACGCAGCAACATCCATACATGTAGAGCACCCGACATTAGAGGTGATTTATTCTTCCAAAGCAAATACACTTTTTGGAGGGTCCAACTAGGATGCTGTGCAGGCAGCTGACATCCTCCTTATCAACTGATGATGTCATTGGTTGTCAGGAAGCCGGCAGCTAGAAGGACGTAATGGTGCACAATGAAAGCCTGTGGCTTTGTGTAACTAAAAGGCAGGCTTGCATACAAGTTTTGGGCAACTTTTAGACATTTTACCAAGGCACCCCTGAACAAACCTCAAGGCACCCCAGGGTGCCTGGGCACCCTGGTTAAAAAAGGCTGATCTAACCCACCCCATTCATTCATTCTTTCAATTTCAGTTCTTTCAGTTAGTAAGGTGGTCTGCATGCAAATGCAGCCATCCAGGAATGCCCACTCCTCCAGACACCTACCCATCAAGACATTTTAATATTTGCATAACTACTCCCCAGAGCCTGCCCATTGCTTGTATCAGGGCTAAGCCCTACTTTTGCCTTGGGACTATATCTGCCCATGTGTTGGTGATAATGATCTAGTATCTGTGTTAAAGTGGACCTGTCAGTCTAAGTGACGTTTAGAGTGAGATGAGTTGTGAGCCTAAAGAATAGAGTTATTCCTACCCCCAATGTATGTATATTTGTGACTCTTGCTGGGGATATATGTGAATATAGTCGTCCTTCTCTGAATCCACCGACACTTTGTACAGCTGGTGGCTCGGAATCCCAGCAGTCAGCAACAGTACCAGTCACTGCTGATAATTTGAAAATAAATCCGTATGGTCCTCAATTGGTTCTAAAGCTAAAATGTTTTTTAACTTTATGCATTGCCTGCATTAAGGTAAAAAATGTTTTGTTACTTTCTGTGCTCCCCTAAACACTTACTGGAGCCTTGTATCGATCCGATGCTGTGCCCTTCCGCAGTTCTTCTCCCCTGTCTTTCTCTTCTCAGTGTCGGTTTAAATCCCCGCGGTGGAGCCAAACTCTGTGTGTGTCTATGGACGCACACAGCCCAACTTGGAAGCAATTCTTCATGTCTACGCCCATAGCAAGTGGCTTGCTATGAGGGCAGGCACAGAAGAGGAGGAGCCTAGATCGTCATCGGGGACTCCATAAGAGGAGGGTCAATGCTGTTCTGTGCAATACCATTACACAGAGCAGGGGAGTATTACTTATTATTTTAGTGAAAAAAAATTATTCAGCTCCCACTGCAGCCTTAAGGTGTCAATGTTCATCTTATTGCTGTAATTGAGAGATCTAATTACACTAACAAAAAAAATAAAACAGAAGGCAATTTAGAAGGTAATATAGCAAATAAAATCCTTGCATGTCCTCTGTATATGCTAAATTGCAGAATCCATGCCTTGTGAAGTCCTTTGACCAAATATGTCATTAAAAGCTCTTTATGATTAAAAAACAAAACTATGTGTACGTGTGTATATACATTAATCAGCCATACCTTTATGACGACCCGCTTAATATTGAGTAGGCCCCCCTTTTTTCTGCCAAAACAGCCCTGACCCATTGAGGCATGGACTCCACTTGACCTCTGAAGGTATGCTGTGGTATCTGGCACCAAGCCATCAGTAACAGTTCCTTCAAGTCCTGAAAGATATGAGGTGGGGCCTCCATGGGTCGGACTTGTTTTTCCAGCACATCCCACAGATGCTCAATTAGATTGAGATCTGGAGAATTTGGAGACCAAGTCAACACTTCAAACTCAAACCATTTTTGCAGTGTGGCAGGGTGTTTTATCCTGCTGGAAGAGGTCACTGCCATCAGGGAATACCATTTCAGTGAAGGGGTGTACTTTGTTAGCAGCAATGTTTAGGTAGGTGGTATGTGTCAGTAACATACACATGAATGGCAGGACCCAAGGTGTTCCTGCCAAACATTGCCTAAAACTTTACACTGCCTGTGCTGGCATATCTTCTTCCTATACTGCATCCTGGTGCCATCTCTTCTCCAGGTAAGACATGCACACACGGCCCGTTCACATGGTAGTAACGAAAACGTGATTCATCAGACCAAGACCACCTTCTTCCAGTGCTCCGTGGTCCAGTTCTGATGTTCGCATACCCACTGTAGTCACTTTTGGCTGTGGACACTGGTCATCATAGCGACTGTGACCTGTCTGTAGCTAAACAGTCCCATACACAACAAACTGCAGTGCCCATTTTTTCTGCTATCAACACATCGACTTGGGGGAACAACATGCATGTTCACTTGCTGCCTATGATATCCCACTGACTTTCAGATGCCATTGTAGTAAGATAATCAATGTTCACTTAATCAGCGGTCATAAAAGTATTGGTGTGTGTGTATATATGTATGTATGTGTATATATATATATATATATATATATATATATATATATATATATATATATATATATATATTATACAGTATTTATAAAGCGCCAATAGTTCGCTCAGCGCTGTACATTACAAAGGGGGACAGAACATGTGACAGAACAATACCAATACAATGCAAAACCTGAGGGGATCGAGGGCCCTGCTCTTTCAAGCTTACAATCTAGGAGATGGGCAGCACATCGACTAAATGGTTAGCACTTCCGCCTGGCAGTACAAGGGTTGTTGGTTCTAATTCCAGCCACGGCACCACCTGGCTGGAGTTTGCATGTTCTCTCTGTGTGCCTGCGTCGGTTTCCTCCGGGTACTCCGGTTTCCTCTCACACTCCAAACACATGCTGGTAGGTTAATTGATTCCTGTCTAAATTGGCCCTAGTATGTGTATGTATGAATGTGAGTTAGGGACCTTAGATTGTACGCCCCTTGAGGGTTAGGAACTGATGTGAATGTACAATTTATATGTAAAGCGCTGCGTAAATTGGTGGCGCTATAAAAGTACCTGTAATAAATAAATATATATATATATATATATATATATACACACACAGAGGGAAATAAGTATTTGATCCCCTGCTGATTTTGAATGTTTGCCCATTCACAAAGAAATGATCAGTCTAAAATTTGAATGGTAGGTGTATTGTAACACAGAGAGACAGAATAGCAACAAACAATTCAAAAGAAATGCATGTCTACCAGATTATACACTGATTTGCATGTTCAGGAGGGAAATAAGTATTTGATCCCCTATTATTCAGCAGGATTTCTGGCTACCAGGTGTCTTTCATACAGGTAACAAGCTGAGATTAGAAGCAGTCTCTTAAAGGGAGTGCTGCTAATCTCATTTTGTTACCTGTATAAAAGACACTTGTCCACAGGAGCAATCAAACAATCAGATTCCAAACTCTCCACCATGGCAAAGACCAAAGAGCTGTCCAAGGATGTCAGGGACAAGATTGTAGACCTACACAAGGCTGGACTGGGCCATAAAATCACACACATATTGTAAATCAATTATATAGTGGCCCAACACATGCTTTTGGCCTGTGCACCTAGACATCTATGACCTCTGGTCACAAAAGGACTTTTGGATGATTTTTCAGATCCATTGGGGATTTTTGTGAAGTCTTTTTCTATAAATATGGTGATGCTTTTACAAATAAGTAGTTTAATTTTTCTGCCATACAACATCTCTTCCCCGCAGGATCATACACTAGTTGGGTCTGATGATTCGCAGGACATCCAGCTGTGTGGGATGGGGATCCTTCCAGAACATTGTGTCATAGACATCACCCTGGAGGGCCAAGTCATCCTGACCCCAATGAAGAACACCAGGTAATCCATCTGTTCCCAGGACATAACTACTTTTTTTCCTTTTAACAGTTACAAGGTTATTATTTTACCAAAATGAGAAGATTTTATCTTAGTCATACAGTACCATTGGAATTGAGTCTTAGACCATGGGTTATATGCTGCTTCTTTCAGGGGATTCCACATTTTTTTTTTTTCTTTACTGTCAGCAATTACAAAGTTAACATTTTACCAGTACGCCATTCCTCATTATCACCAGCTTTATCTGAGGAACCTGGATTTCCCACATACCATACTTGTGTTACAGCAGTTTTGTTTTTTGAATGGTTGAACTGGATGGGCTATTGTTTTTTTTCAGCCAGACTACCTATCTAGCAGTTGTTGAACTTGAAGTTCTTTTAGCGTGACTCCCACAGACTGCTATTCTGCAGTTTCACCAGCATGTGGCGCTAGATCTCCCTTTGCTTTTATTCAAAGCACTAGAGGGCTGTAAGGGAACACTGGACCTTTAGGAGACACTTGAGGACCCTCATAACCTGCCGACTGCTGTCATTAGCTCTGCCATGCTGCTGCTAACAGGTGGAATAGTTTCCCTGCACCAAGAGGTAAGCATGCTCTGTGTAGGTAAATTGGATTTCAGTGCTAAATCGATGGCATCTATTCATTTAGATTACCAGAGAAGCTGAGATGAGGCTTGTTCAGTGTATTCAAGCCTGTGATCTTCATTCTGCTGAAGCTGCAGGAGGTGTTGGAGCTTGTTTGTAGACTTTTTGACTTGGCTTTATGCTGTCCCCGCTTTGCTTGCAGGGAGTTGTGTGCAGCCTAAACCAGCACTTTTTTCCCAGTAGACTCCTCTAGTCATTTGTCTCGTAGTGACGCTCCCTGGAGTGTGCAGCTCTGATATCTATGTGCACCGTACACGGGGCGCTCATTACATAATGTGATGGTTTGTGATCTCCGGCATCCATACATTCTCTACATGCTTGCCGATTGTTGGGTAGAAGGTGTGCGATGCTTCAACAAGCCCGTTCCTGTCTTCTCACCTGATACTCCTAATATTACAGTGTGCACTGCACAGTTCCTTCTTCTGTCTATTAACCACAGATTCTGCGGGATTACAGGGTGTAAGGCATTCATCTGTTCAAACAGGCTGCAACAATGCCACTATTGTTCTATAAAGGGGATGTGGACTGGGTTTCTTCATATTCTATTTAATAAAAAAAAATAAATATAAAAAAAGTTTGTTTCAGAAGTCAAGGAAATATCAGTTCAGCTATTTCACCTGTATACCCCCCTGTAGACCTAAGCAGTTTTTAAATTTCTGCTATGGGCCTATTGATTCTGAAACTATTGTTGTTGTTATCATCCTCAATAATATCATTATTATAATAGTAATAATGTTATTTCATTTTTTCAATGTATTTTGATTATTATTTAGGATTTATAGAGCGCCAGTAGTTTGCAAAGTGCTTTAAAATAGAGAGACCATACAGTTAAAATGCAATTCAAGACAAGAGGATTGGGGGGGGGCTGGACATGAGATCTTGCAGCCAGTTCAGCTCTCCCCCCTAAACACCCCCCAATGAATCAGAACAATTTTTACATTTCTGCTATGGACCTGTTTATTCACTAATAACTTTGTCATTACCTAAGATAACAAAGTAAAAATATATATATATATATACACACACACACATTTGCAGGCTTTCTTGTGCACCATCTTTAGAAGAGGCTTCCTTCTGGGACAACAGCCATGCAGACCAATTTGATGCAGTGTGTGGCATATGGTCTGAGCACTGACAGTTTGACGCCCCTTCCCCCCCCCCGCCCCATCCCTTCATTCTCTGCAGCACTCATACATCTATTTCCCAAAGACAACCTCTGGATAGGACGCTGAGCACATGCACTCAACTTCTTTGGTCGACCATGGCGAGGCCTGTTCTGAGTGCAACCTGACCTGTTAAACTGCTGTATGGTCTTGGCCATCGTGCTGCAGCTCAGTTTCAGGGTCTTGGCAATCTTCTTATAGCCTAGGCCAGTGATGGCGAACCTTTTTGAGCCCGAGTGCCCAAACTGCAACCCAAAACCAACTTATTTCTTTCAAAGTGCCAACACTGCAATGAAACCTGAATATCGAGCTTTTGGTTTAGAAAAAACAACTCGTACAATAGTGCAAACTAATTAACAGTACAGGGATGACCAGAGACTGCGGACACAGTACAGGGATGACCAGAGACTGCGGACAGTACAGGAGATGACCAGAGACTGCGGACAGTACAGGAGATGACCAGAGACTGCGGACACAGTACAGGAGATGACCAGAGACTGCGAACAGTACAGGAGATGACCAGAGACTGCGGACACAGTACAGGGATGACCAGAGACTGCGGACACAGTACAGGGATGACCAGAGACTGCGGACACAGTACAGGGATGACCAGAGACTGCGGACACAGTACAGGAGATGACCAGAGACTGGGGACACAGTACAGGGATGACCAGAGACTGCGGACAGTACAGGGATGACCAGAGACTGCGGACAGTACAGGGATGACCAGAGACTGCGGACTGCACAGGGATGACCAGAGACTGCGGACAGCACAGGGATGACCAGAGACTGCGGACAGTACAGAGATGACCAGAGACTGCGGACAGCACAGGGATGACCAGAGACTGCGGACAGCACAGGGATGACCAGAGACTGCGGACAGCACAGGGATGACCAGAGACTGCGGACAGCACAGGGATGACCAGAGACTGCGGACAGTACAGAGATGACTGCTGACCTTTGGGGAGGGAGGGGAGCGGGTACCTGAATTTGACAGGTACCCGCTCTTACTTCCGCAGAGTTTTTTTTTTTATCTTACCTGTTCCTCGATCCAGCCGCGCGCTGTCTTCCCGGCTTCTGTAGTGTGGGCGCTCGTCGGACAGCCGGATGCCCAGTGCGCATGCGCGAGAAGCGCTGCGCTTTGTGATTGGTCCGGCGGCTTCTGGGATCTGTCATGTGTCCCAGGTACCGCCTTACCATTCACAAAGAGCACTGCTTCTTGTGCATGCGCACTTGGCACCCGGCTGTCACGCACACTACAGCCGGGAAGACAGCGCGCCGCTGGATTCTCCTGGCGTGCCCACAGATAAGGCTCGGCGTGCCGGCTGTGGCACGCGTGCCACGGGTTCGCCATCACTGGCCTAGGCCATCTTTATGTAGAGCAACAATTCTTTTTTTCAAATCCTCAGAGAATTCTTTGCCATGAGGTGCCATGTTGAACTTCCAGTGACCAGTATGAGAGAGTGAGAGCAATAACACCAAATTTAACACACCTGCTCCCCATTCACACCTTAGACCTTGTACCACTAACAAGTCACATGACATCGGGGAGGAAAAATGGCTAATTGGGCCCAATTTGGACATTTTCACTTAGGGGTGTATTCACTTTTGTTGCCAGCGGTTTAGACATTAATGGCTGTGTGTTGAGTTATTTTGAGGGGACGGCAAATTTACATGTTATACAAGCTGTACACTCAGTGCGTCATGTTGTAACAAAGTGTAATTTCTTCAGTGTTGTCACATGAAAAGATACAGTCAGGTCCATAAATATTGGGACAGCGACACAATTCTAACATTTTTGGCTCTATACACCACCACAATGGATTTGAAATGAAACGAACAAGATGTGCTTTAACTGCAGACTGTCAGCTTTAATTTGAGGGTATTTACATCCAAATCAGGTGAACAGTGTAGGAATTACAACAGTTTGCATATGTGTCTCCCACTTGTTAAGGGACCAAAAGTAATGGGACAATTGGCTTCTCAGCTGTTCCATGGCCAGGTGTGTTTTATTCCCTCATTATCCCAATTACAATGTGCAGATAAAAGGTCCAGAGTTCATTTCAAGTGTGCTATTTGCATTTGGAATCTGTTGCTGTCAACTGTCAAGATGGGATCCAAAAAGCTGTCACTATCAGTGAAGCAAGCCATCATTAGGCTAAAAAAACAAAACAAACCCATCAGAGAGATAGCAAAAACATTAGGCGTGGCCAAAACAACTGTTTGGAACATTCTTAAAAAGAAGGAATGCACCGGTGAGCTCAGCAACACCAAAAGGCCTGGAAGACCACAGAAAACAAGTGTGGTGGATGACCGAAGAATTCTTTCCCTGGTGAAGAAAACACCCTTCACAACAGTTGGCCAGATCAAGAACACTCTCCAGGAGGTAGGTGTATGTGTGTCAAAGTCAACAATCAAGAGAAGACTTCACCAGAGTGAATACAGAGGGTTCACCACAAGATGGTAAACCATTGGTGAGCCTCAAAAACAGGAAGGCCAGATTAGAGTTTGCCAAATGACATCTAAAAAAGTCTTCACAGTTCTGGAACAACATCCTATGGACAGATGAGACCAAGATCAACTTGTACCAGAGGGAAGAGAAGAGTATGGAGAAGGAAAGGAACTGCTCATGATCCTAAGCATACCACCTCATCAGTGAAGCATGGTGGTGGTAGTGTCATGGCGTGGGCATGTATGGCTGCCAATGGAACTGCTTCTCTTGTATTTATTGATGATGTGACTGCTGACAAAAGCAGCAGGATGAATTCTGAAGTGTTTTGGGCAATATTATCTGCTCATATTCAGCCAAATGCTTCACAACTCATTGGACGCCGCTTCACAGTGCAGATGGACAATGACCCAAAGCACACTGCAAAAGCAACCAAAGAGTTTTTTAAGGGAAAGAAGTGGAATGTTCTGCAATGGCCAAGTCAATCACCTGACCTGAATCTGATTGAGCATGCATTTCACTTGCTGAAGACAAAACTGAAGGGAAAATGCCCCAAGAACAAGCAGGAACTGAAGACAGTTGCAGTAGAGGCCTGGCAGAGCATCACCAGGGATGAAACCCAGCGTCTGGTGATGTCTATGCATTCCAGACTTCAGGCTGTAATCAACTGCAAAGGATTTGCAACCAAGTATTAAAAAGTGAAAGTTTGATTTATGATTATTATTCTGTCACATTACTTTTGGTCCC